GTGCCTTACTCTTTGAGCCACAGGCGCCACCCCGTTGATTCATTTCCTAACTGTGGCAGGCACACAGCAGAGAGCCAGAGATGTGGATGCTTCGATGTGACAAGTGGTGATGAGGGAACAGTGGAGAGCACGGGCTCCGTGTGTGACGGAGCTGGGCTGCACTGGCCGGCTGGTCTTGGGTATGACCATTTGGTGCCTCCATGTCCCTGAGCAAAGTGGCAACAGAGACAGCCTCACAGGTTGTGGGATTTAAATGAGATGATCCATGCCCTTGAGACATTAATGTCACTGTCACCGTAGGCATCGCTGCCATCATACAAGGAGAAGCCTGTGTCTGGAAGTGCCACCTCAGCAGGCTGGCGTGGTGGAATGGGCCGCTCCACAGAGAGGCCACTTTCGGTTTGATGATCAGAGCTGACTTCCTCATGTTTCCTTCCAGAGTCCCCACTGGACAGCAGAGCTTCCCCGTCCAAGCTGCTGCCTCTAAGCCCAAAGCCGTAATTGCCATGGCCAGATGGGACTTGGGGTGCAGTTGGGCCAGGATGGTATTGTGAAAAGTTAGGGTTTCCTGGTTCTAAGACCCCAACCATTTACCAGGAATCATCTCATTTAAACCCCACAGCAGCCTTTTCAGATTGATTTTGTCGTGACTGCCAAATGGTTCCTGGCGGTCAGCAAGGCTGTTTTCAGGGGTAGGAGTTCAACAATGACTCATTCATTCCCTGTGAGCCTCACCTTGTCAGTTAGGCTGCTGTCGCAGGCAGGGTGTGCCAGGAGCAGCCGCACTAGGTCGGAGTTGCCGTGGTGACAGGCCAGCATGAGGGCGGAGGCTCCCTCGTGGTCCTGCAGGTTGACGTCTGCCTGGCAGCTCAGCAGCGCGCGGACCATGTCCTCCCTGTCGTGGCTGACTCCCAGCATCAGCGCAGTCTGGCCTCCCTGCACACAGGGCCATAGGGCATGCTGAGGTCAGTGCCAATGGGAAGGGGCCCCTCTGCAGCCTGGCCCCCTCTACAAAGACTTCTCATGAAAATAACCATTGATCTGAAGCCCCCTCTGGCCTTAGTGGGGAGTCACATTTCTTCTCTTCTTGGACACTAGCCCAATGCCCTGTCCTCTCTCTGCCTCCCCGTCTCTCTGGGCACTGACCATTTGGTATTGCAATTTGCCAGTCTCTGTCTTTCTTGTGACATTGTTGATGGCAGGGACGAAGGTTTTATTGGGTCTCTGTCTCCCCAGTCCCCAGTGCCTGGCACCAGGAATATGCTGGTAAGTGTTGAATGAGGGACAGATGATGGGTGGGGGCTCAGCACTGAGGCTCCTTACTTCCTGCCCCCCGGCTTTCTCCAGGAAGCCTTGGTCTGCTCAATGCCTCTGGTATTTTCAGTTTAATGATACCCCAAACCCTCTGGCTCAACACGATCTGTTTGAACATCCCTGTGGTCACTTCTACTCTAGCCACTGACAATAATATTGGCCATCCCTGAAATCATCAGTGGATGGAACAACAGACTGGAGCCAGAAAGCAAGTCCAGGCTCTATTCCTGCCGTGTGTGACCCTGCCCACTTCACTTGTTGTTCCTGAATTTTTTTTTTTTTGAGACAGAGTCTCACTTTGTCATCCTTGGTAGAGGCCGTGGCATCAAAGCTCACAGCAACCTCCAACTCCTGAGTTCAAGTGATTTTCTTGCTTCAGCCTCCCAACTAGCTGGGACTCAAGGGACCGGCCACAATGCCCACCTAGTTTTTAGATGTGGGGTCTTGCTCTTGCTCAGGTTGGTCTTGAACTCCTGACCTCAAGCAATCCACCCACTCCTAGCTTCCTGGAGTGCTAGGATTATAGGCATGAGCCACTGAGCCTGGCCTATGTTGTCCCTGAATCTTGGCTTTTCTTATTATTATTTTTCATTTTAAATAATAGGCCATTTCCAATCTGAGCAAAAATAGAAAAACTAGCATTGTGGTGGGTGCCTCTAGTCCCACATACTCCGGAGGCTAAGGAAGAAGGATCACTTCAACACAGGAGTTGGAGGTTGCTGTGAGCTGTGATGACACCATGACACTCTACCCAGGACAACAGAATGAGACTCTGTCTCAGAAAATAAAACAAAACAAAAACCCAGCCATTTAAAGAACCTTACTGGTTTTTT